ATTCATGGAATTCGGGCGGCGCAGCACCCAAGCAGACTGCTGTCCTGCCCAATCCTCCACTGAGTCAATCTCCTCCAATAGCCTCTGATGTAAGCCCGACACCAGGCCCTCAGGTACCATCTGGAAGGCATAAACACCCGGAGTGATTTCTTCACAAAGATTCCTCAGTGCACGGGCACGCTGATCAACGCTGAGAGACAAGGCAGCGCAAAGTTCTCGACTCAAAAGTGGCTTGATGTCTCGAACCTGCATGGAATAAAGCTCTGGCCACTTTGCCTCATAGCCAAAGTCAGCGGGAAGGCTCGCGGCTGCCTTCTTTGCAGCTTTGGCTATTGCCTCCTGGGTGTCCAAGCGTTGCCGCCGTTTCTTGAGATCCTGGTCGGCTAGCTTGCGCAGGAGCGCAGCATCAGGGATGCACTCGCTGGGGTCCAGCAGCTTGGCGATGGCTCTTCGACTGGGCGCAAGTGTCGCAGCATGAGAGCCCTCACGCAGCGTGACCTCCCGAGGCAGCGCGCCATCAAAGTCCACTGCGTCTGCCAAAGTGGGGCACTCCGCAAAGAGCAGCTCGACTGCTGCCAGGCGACTCTTCTCAGCTGCTAGGTGGAGAGCATTACGACCTCCAGGCGCATCCAAGGCAAGGGCTCCACCCATCAACCGGGCCCTTGCATCAAATGTGGTCAGATGGAGGTCTGCCCTCGCAACCATCAGCAGGCGGAGGATTTCTACATCGCCGTCTGACGCTGCGATGTGCACTGGGCTGTAGCCGTCCTTGTTACGCAAATTCACATCGGCAGCATCTTCAAGGAGACGTCTCACGCAGGCAACAGAGCTGTACATAGTTGCCACGTGCAGCGAGGAGCCTATACTCTTCGTGACGCTTGGGGTGATGTTGGCCTGGATTCTCAGCATCTCTTCAACTTCGTCATTGGCGATAGCCGTTATGAGATGCTGCTCAGCACCCTGGACGTCTGGAGGGGCCATGGTCCATTGTACAAGGTTGTCTACAATGGCCGCTTCTGAGCCGAAATACAGACCTTGTAATCTGGATTGAAAAAACTCGCCAAAAAACACCAACCTTCAGGCCTCCTCCTCAAGCACCTGCTCTCGACCCTCCATTGCTTGCATTGCCCGATCCTGCCAGAAATTCACTCAGCTTGTGAGTCCCTTAGTATAGACTTTCAGGAAATGGAAAACCATCACGAAGAAACCCCACAACAAGATAGAGCGCAGTGTGCGCTCATAAACTGCCCTGCGCAGTTCACTGTGTCCTCGTTCCGCATGGACTCCAGACGCAGCTCCTCGCCTCATGACGGTGAGCAAGAACCAAGATCTCCGCCGGGCTAGCATGAAAAAAAGCTAAGTGGGAGTATGCGTTCTACATGCAGGAATAATCATGAGAACTAGAATGGCACACGTTGACGACAAAAAATGGAACCATTGCTTGCAATAGTGTGGCACAAGGTTCTCGTGCGGGCTTTATGCCCACAACTCCAAGTGACTCCAAGAGCCTGGGTCTCCCCACATGCTGAAAGCATGTAAAAAACCCAGCATCTTCTCAGCTTTCTCTCCCAGTCACAAGCTGCAGTGGAGGTCTCGAGCCGGGCCTCTTTGCGCAAAAAAGGAAGCCACGACACTGACTGGCTTCAGAGTGCTTATGGATTACCTTTGGAATCTGAAGACGGCAAGCTATTGTGGCAACAGGGCATTGCAATCTGCCTGCAGGTCTCGGGCCTTTCTCTTGTACTCCTGGAGAGCCAGCGCTCACTCGTTGGCTCGATTAAGCGAAAATGTACATGGCGCAGCAGGCAAGCCGAGAACGACAGACCGCAGACTGCGCAGCACAAGCAGTGATGCCACCGCAAAAGGCGCCCCCTAAGCTACTCACCATTACTTTATGGCTTCAAACGCAGCGTTGAGCCCACCAAATTCGTCGTGGCTCCTCGGCCTCTTTCTGAGACTGCTCCAGCTGCTCCAGGGCCTTAAAAGGACAAAGAACTATGCAATTTGCACGTTCTGGAGAGAGTAGCCCTGGGCATTCCTAAGCCAATAATCGCAACAATAGCAGTAATAGTACTGTAACAATAGTAGAAGTAACAATAATAATGATAATAATCTTAGCAACAATAGTAGCAACTGTAGAAATACTGAGAATAGTAAGAGGAATAATTGTAGAAATAAGAAATAAAAACAAAAGTAATGCCCTCCGCTAATCTGACGCCTTGGATGAATTTCCAAGCCAAAGTGTCCCTCCGAAGGCGCATGGCCTCCCTCGACTCGGACTTCAAGGAGGTGTCTTCTGCCTACATCAGCTTACTGGCGTTTAGTGGGGATTATTTTGGGGTTCTACAGGCTTGATGGAAGTACTACATTATAATCGGGTATATATTGGGCTTATGATTGGCAATATGGGAATATAGTATATATGCGTCCCCGCTCCGCGTTCCCACCCCCTGCCCCATTGCATCCCCCCCAATGCTTCAAAAGTGTCAACAGTCACAGGGATGAGCCCCCCCGGCATCGCGATCCCTGTAACTGTCGCGACTTTCAGCCCCTCATGTTGCTGTCGCGGCTCAAAAGTACCAACAGTCACAGGGATGGGGTGGTCCTCATCGCTATCCTCGCAACTGTCATGTCCTCTGCCCCCCTTCTACACTTCTGTAAAAAAATTGTATAAACACTCTAGAAACAGTCTTTCTCTATAAGATCTCAATAAAACTCTATCAAACCTTCAGAGCCGCTCTTCCTTCAACAAATCTCTGGAGACCTCTAAACAGCTGCTATTGAATTAATGAACCGTTTGCAAAACTTCTTTAAATCTTATAGAACGCCTCCACAAACTCGCCACCAAACCCAGACTACAGGACCAGAGGGGGTGGGTAGGTTAATCCTGTTCTATATCATTGACATCATGGACCATTGCGGGGGTGGTGGTGGATGCTGGCGCATATAGGGCTATAGGTGTTATATGCGATTTATACTCCCCTGGTCCCGGCTAGCAACCAGAAAGTCAAACAGTCAATGAGCACTAAATTTGGCCTTGCTAAAGCCCAGGTCGGATCCAGGATCATTCGGGTCCATGTTTTTTCGCTACCAGCAGCTTCCGTCAGCAAAATATTCCCTATATAACCCCTCTATACTATATGTCCATCTGCACTCCCAGTATAATCCCCATATAACATCATATAGCCCTGATACCCTAAACCCTAAAGCCCAAAACCCTAAACAGTAATTCCTTCACATGAGCTTGCCCT